CCTTTACTTTCGGTGCTATTTAAATTCCGACAAAAGCAAGTAGCTATCACGGCCGATATTGCTGAAATGTTTCACCAAGTTCGTGTCCGTCAAGAAGACCAAAATTTCTTACGCTTCCTTTGGTATGAACCACACGCCAACGAGCCAACTACCTTTGTGATGACAGTTATGACCTTTGGGGCCACATGCTCACCCAGCTGCGCTCAATACGTCAAAAATAAAAATGCCGAAGAGTTTCGTGAGGAATTCCCTTGTGCTTCCCGCTGTATAATCGAAAACCATTACGTCGACGATATGCTGGTGAGCATGGACACAGAACAAGAGGCTATAAAGTTGGCGCAAGATGTGCGTCACGTGCATGCGATGGGAGGCTTTCACATAAGAAATTTTCTATCGAACTCTAGTCGAGTATTGGCTGCCCTGAACGAGAGCTCAACTGACGCGCTATGTCTCGATCTTGAAAAAGATTTGCCTACCGAGAAGGTGTTAGGCATGTGGTGGGTTACCGCCAGCGACCATTTCGCATTTCGGGTATCCGCCAAGTAGAGGGATTCCGACCTCTTTCTTTGCCAGCGGAGACCGACCAAACGCGAAGTTTTGAGCTTGGTTATGACTATATACGACCCAATTGGGCTCATCGGTTTCTACGTGGTGTACGCCAAAGTCATCTTACAAGAAATATGGAGGACTGGATGCGACTGGGACGACCCAATCCCAGACGACCAATTTATCAAGTGGCTGAGGTGGCTTAAACTCATTCCGAAAATTGAAAACCTGAGAATCCCGCGCTGCTATATGCAAACCAGATTTGGCGGAACCCCTCAAATAGAATTACACACATTTGTCGATGCTAGTGAAAGCAGCTATGCCGCAGTGTGCTACCTTCGATACTCACACCATGACGCAATTGATTGTACGATGATCGCCAGCAAAACAAGAGTAGCCCCACTCAAGTTAATATCCATACCACGCCTGGAACTAAAAGCTGCACTTTTGGGAGCTCGACTGGCCAAGCATGTCATCGAATCGCATTCAATCCACGTTGATAGCTGCATATACTGGTCAGACTCTCGAACAGTATTAGCCTGGCTGCATGCCGATCACCGACGCTACAAGCAGTTTGTGGCCTTTCGAGTCAGTGAGATTCTGGAACTGACTGACGTAAAGGAATGGCGCTGGGTTCCAACCGCGGCAAATGTCGCTGACGAAGCCACCAAATGGCATGGTGATCCGGACCTTTCTGACGACAGCCGATGGTTTAGTGGACCATCTTTTTTGTACCTTAGGCGTTTCAACTGAAGAGCTCCGTCCACAGTTTATTGGCGCTCATCACTTAACGTCAGAACCACTTCTATTAGTGCCCGAAGCTGAGAGATTTTCATCTTGGAATCGTCTTCTTCGAGCAACCACTATGGTCTTGTACTGCGCTCGGGTTTGGTTAAGTGTAATTCGAGATAACCACTTTGTTGGTGGTGTCCCAAGTACTGAAGATTTTCGGAAGGCAGAACGCTACCTTTGGAGGAAAGCACAGCACGACGACTTTAAAGACTCCATAGGATATTTAGCAGTTGGGAAAGCTGTCGACAAATCCAGCAAAATTTTCAAGCTATCACCCTATCTAGATGACAACGGTGTTTTGCGAATAGATGGCAGAGTTAAGATAGTAGAGCGACCAGACCCAGTACTATTACCACACAACCATCATATTACGCGCCTAATCATAAACCACTTTCACGTAAAGTATCATCACGGTAGCTTGGAGACAGTCGTCAACGAAATTCGGCAGTCGTATTGGATCATAAAACTTCGTATCATGGCCAATCAAATTCGACGCAATTGTCAGGTTTGTAAAAACAGAAGCGTTCAACCTCGACCACCTAGGATGGCTTGCTTGCCTCCAGCGCGCACCTCAGCAATTTGCCGTCCGTTTTCCTACGTAGGCGTCGACTATTTTGGTCCGATTCTCGTCACTGTTAGAAGGAGCACCGAGAGGAGATACGGAGTGTTGTTCACCTGTTTGACAACCAGAGCGGTGCACCTCGAAATTGCGTACTCGCTGTCCACAGACTCCTGCATTTTGGCCGTGCGTAACTTTATGGCTCGCAGAGGCAGCCCGTTGGAGATATGGAGTGACAACGGCACAAACTTTAAAGGTGCTGAGAGGGAGTTGAAGTCAGCATTTGCTCTCCTGGATAAAAATCTGCTGACGAAAACCTTCACTTCTGCGGCAACAAACTGGCGTTTTATACCACCCGCATCGCCACACATGGGCGGAGCCTGGGAGCGGCTAGTTCGCTCAGTAAAGGACGTACTTCAACGGATTTTGACAACTAGCCATCCGAATGACGAACTTCTACGTGCCGCTTTAATGGAGGTGGAGATGACGGTCAACTCACGACCATTAACTTATATTCCTGTCGACGAAGACGACGAGGAGGAAGAGGCGCTTACACCTAACCACTTCTTGTTAGGTAACTCTAGTGGTATTAAGCCGATCGCGGAACCGGTTACTGAGGGCGTTTTAATGCGTCGTAACTGGCGAACATCGCAACAACTCGCAGACGCCTTCTGGAGACGTTGGGTTACTGAGTATTTGCCCACAATCACTAGGAGAACCAAATGGTTTGCGGATGTTAAAGCCATCGAAGTCGGTGACATTGCGTACATAGTGGATCCTAATAACCCAAGGAACTGTTGGCCAAAGGGTAAGGTGATCGAGGTCCGAAAGAGTGCCGATGGAAAGGTAAGAAGCGCTACGCTCAAGACAACTTGTGGCATCTATGAAAGACCTGCTGCCAAAATAGCCGTTCTAGACCTGAAGAGCTCGGTACATCCTGATCGGCAGCATATATCAGGGGGGAGTGTTACGAACGATCTGGCAGCACAGTTGGAATAAGTCAAAAGTAAGCCCCACTCACCTAACTTGTAAGCTAGCATACGTGGCGCATGCTGATTGGTCAAGTAAAACGAAAACGAAAAAGGGGAGCAATTTGGCAAATCGGGAGCCGTATGATAAGAACGAAGCAGAACCGGAATAGAAGGCAGAGCGACAAGACTAAATTTTTTAATTCTATGAAAAGAGCGAATTGGAAAAGTTATAAACGAATTAAAGAATAAAATACTTTTTGAATTGCAAAAAATTGTCGACCTTTTTTAACATCTTAAAAAATTTACTCTGCCTTCACTACGCGTTTCAACTTAAACAAAACTTCGTATTGAAAATCGCAATGTCGCAAGCTACTACGAATATAGCTGAGGCTTCTAGTGTGCCGGCTAACTTCGCCGTTGGACCTGATTTCACCGCCGCTGCTAATCTAGCGGCTTCGACAAGCTATCCCACTGCGCACAATCCTGTCGCTCCAAACAAAAACTTGCTGATACAGGGAGAGTATGGAACTAATATTGGAGCTGCACATCAACACGATCCTGCGACTCAGCCCGAGATCCTGGATGCTCGCCTATTTTCTGGAGCTCTTACATCTGCTAATCGGGTGCATGCCATGTCACCCAATCAAATACCGCTCCAAGATAATCGGCCAACTAGCCCCGCTAACTCCATAAGCTCAATCAGCTCGCAAGGGCTTCGTCGCCGGGCCGAACTGCTGCATGAGCAGAGCGAAATCTTAAGGCAAAGGGAGGCTCTACTAAGAGAGCAGCACAGCTTTCTGGATCGTATTGACGCAATGGGTTTCGACGATGACCTAGATGAAAGGCAATATACAATGCGTAGGCCTTCGACCTCAGTGCAGGGTTCAGCACCAAATACAACGCAGACAATGCAGCTACCTCCTAATTTGGTTGCACCATTCAATATAGCTGCTTCTGCTGCAAATCCACCTGTCCTTCAAGGGGTTCCTCCACGACACCGCCGTTTTAAGAACATCAACTGTTCAACATCAAGTGGGTGATCTGTCAGCATCTGTCCTTCAATCCTTATTGGACAGAATACAGTCGCTCGAGCAGCAATTACTAAATAACTCGACACCCAATAGAGGGTGTCCTCCGCCACAATCGCAACCAGCGCAAACAACTTTTCCCATAGCCGGGCACGTTAATAGCTTATCCTTCGGTGCTTCGGCTTATCGCCGACTGACCAGAGACCAGGTCGCTTCTCGCAAAAGCCTTGCTACAGAGCTGCCCAAATTTGATGGCAAGCCAAGCGAGTGGCCGTTGTTTTACGCTACTTATAACCAATCTACAGAGGTTTGTGGATTCTCTGAAGAAGAGAATCTGCTAAGACTGCGGCAAGCATTGGTAGGTACAGCGCGCAATTCAGTTAAAAATCTATTGTTGCACTCCTCGTGCGTGCCTCAAATTATCGCTACCCTTCAAATGCGATTTGGACGACCAGAATTGATTATCAGCGCTCTGCAGCGACAAATTTGTAAACTGCCGTCACCGTCCGAAAGCCAGCTCGAATCGATTGTCGACTTCGCGGTAGAAGTGCAAAATATCTGTGCAACGATGTCGGCATCAGGCCTGACCAGTCATTTGAACAATCCCGAGTTTGAACAGAGGCTGGTTTCGAAACTGCCTGGGCTTTTACCAGCATATTGGGGAATGCATAAACGAAGCTTAGCGGTCTGTAATTTACAACATTTCAGCGATTGGCTTTTCCAGCTAGCCCAAGGTGCTAATTGCGTTCTTGTTCCAAAGGAGTCACCAAAAGTATGCAAACGTGGCGCGATTAACTATCATACTAATTCGGTAAGATGTATCGTTTGCGAAGAAAATTGCAGTGATATCTCTAATTGTACCTCTTTCAAGATAATGCCACGAAGTCAAAAGTGGCAGGTAGTTCACGATGCTTGGGGAAGCACCCCACAACTGGTTGTAAATCGGCTGCAACATGCAACGTTAATGGTTGCACTCGCAGTCATCATCCCTTACTACACAACGCAGAGTTTGTTGGTGCTGAAGCTGTACAAGCGTCCAAAAATGTCAGGGCGAGCGTCTTAGCACAGCCTGCCAATGTGAATATGCATAGTTCTGGCAGAAGCAACACACTATTTCGAGTACTCCCGGTAGTTCTACACTCGGGCCGTTGTAGAGTGCCAACCTATGCCTTCATAGATGATGGTTCGTCCCTCACACTCATCGACGAAGAGCTGTTGAAAAAACTAAACGTAACAGGCACACCACAACCACTCTGCCTACGGTGGACTGGTGATACACATCGGTATGAGGACGAGTCTGTCGTAGTCGACCTAGCCATATCCGCTAAAAACGGCGATAAGAAATTCGCGCTGAAAGGCGTTCGCTCAGTAAAAAAACTTGACTTGCCTATCCAATCACTTAACGCTGCCAAATTGCAGTCGGATTTCAAATATTTGAAAGGTTTGCCGTTGGAGTCATATTCAAATGCCGCACCACAACTACTGATTGGGTTAAATAACGCTGCGCTTGGATCTCCAATCAAATCTTTATATGGTGGCGAAAATGAGCCAATAGCAGAAAAGTCTAGACTTGGATGGACATTGAAAGGATCGACACCGGAAATCGGTGTCGATACTGTACACCACGTCTATCACATTTGTAACTGCTCTGCCCAAGCTGAGCTGCTTCAAATAACTAAAGCGTACCTTTGGCTTTAATAATTTAGGTGTGTCAGCCAAACCTGCTGCTTTATTGTCCAAAGAAGACGTCATCGCTTTGGAGCAGCTACAACAACATACCGTGCGAGTCGGCTACCGTTTCGAAACCAGTTTATTATGGAAACATCCGTATACTCAGCTCCCCGATAGCCTTCAAATGGCCTTATTTCGGGCGCAATGTCTACGTAGGAAGATGCAACGCGACCATAACTTAGCTGAGGTGCTTCAACAAAAGATCAACGATTATATCCAAAAGGGGTACGCCAGACGTTTGACACCACTCGATGCTGCCGTTGAAAGATACTGGTATTTGCCGATTTTTGCTGTAACAAACCCTAACAAACCTGGGAAGGTTCGATTAGTCTGGGACGCAGCCGCGAAGGTTAATGGTGTGTCCTTGAATAGCATGTTGCTCAAAGGCCCAGACCTTTACTTTCGGTGCTATTTAAATTCCGACAAAAGCAAGTAGCTATCACGGCCGATATTGCTGAAATGTTTCACCAAGTTCGTGTCCGTCAAGAAGACCAAAATTTCTTACGCTTCCTTTGGTATGAACCACACGCCAACGAGCCAACTACCTTTGTGATGACAGTTATGACCTTTGGGGCCACATGCTCACCCAGCTGCGCTCAATACGTCAAAAATAAAAATGCCGAAGAGTTTCGTGAGGAATTCCCTTGTGCTTCCCGCTGTATAATCGAAAACCATTACGTCGACGATATGCTGGTGAGCATGGACACAGAACAAGAGGCTATAAAGTTGGCGCAAGATGTGCGTCACGTGCATGCGATGGGAGGCTTTCACATAAGAAATTTTCTATCGAACTCTAGTCGAGTATTGGCTGCCCTGAACGAGAGCTCAACTGACGCGCTATGTCTCGATCTTGAAAAAGATTTGCCTACCGAGAAGGTGTTAGGCATGTGGTGGGTTACCGCCAGCGACCATTTCGCATTTCGGGTATCCGCCAAGTAGAGGGATTCCGACCTCTTTCTTTGCCAGCGGAGACCGACCAAACGCGAAGTTTTGAGCTTGGTTATGACTATATACGACCCAATTGGGCTCATCGGTTTCTACGTGGTGTACGCCAAAGTCATCTTACAAGAAATATGGAGGACTGGATGCGACTGGGACGACCCAATCCCAGACGACCAATTTATCAAGTGGCTGAGGTGGCTTAAACTCATTCCGAAAATTGAAAACCTGAGAATCCCGCGCTGCTATATGCAAACCAGATTTGGCGGAACCCCTCAAATAGAATTACACACATTTGTCGATGCTAGTGAAAGCAGCTATGCCGCAGTGTGCTACCTTCGATACTCACACCATGACGCAATTGATTGTACGATGATCGCCAGCAAAACAAGAGTAGCCCCACTCAAGTTAATATCCATACCACGCCTGGAACTAAAAGCTGCACTTTTGGGAGCTCGACTGGCCAAGCATGTCATCGAATCGCATTCAATCCACGTTGATAGCTGCATATACTGGTCAGACTCTCGAACAGTATTAGCCTGGCTGCATGCCGATCACCGACGCTACAAGCAGTTTGTGGCCTTTCGAGTCAGTGAGATTCTGGAACTGACTGACGTAAAGGAATGGCGCTGGGTTCCAACCGCGGCAAATGTCGCTGACGAAGCCACCAAATGGCATGGTGATCCGGACCTTTCTGACGACAGCCGATGGTTTAGTGGACCATCTTTTTTGTACCTTA